CATAATTGTTCGTGGCATGAAAAGATAAATTAAATCGTATGCAAGAACAGCAACACCATAAATATTAGATGCACGCTAGCCGAAGTAAATAATTTAACATGTATATTCCTGTGAGAGAAAAGTACCGATGTTCATTTTAACGAACAAAGCGTCGTTTCCCATTTCATTCAAATTCTAGTTATTTCTAGATACAACATGACACCAGCAATTGACGTTAAGCTAAAGAAGAAGAACAACAACAAAACATATTTATACTTTCGGAAGCGAAGAATAATCACGCTTGGATGCGTTAAATTAACCAGCAACCTTTCAAGGACCAAATCATGAATTTATCAGTCTGCGTGCCAAATTCTATAGTCGGTTGCTAAAGGATAAGAAATAAACAATTATCTCAGGCATACAAAGAGCTGATGAATTGGTCTCGCTCTCAAATGTTTGCCGGGAATAACTCGATCAACTGCTGAAAGTTCCTAATGAATATCGTCGTCAATGTATACCAAAGACAGCGGGAACCTTATTTCCTAACAAATGTCTCTCGATGAAGAAGCATTTAATAAAAAGTGCAAAGAGATACCACCTAAATAAGCAGTGTCAGATTCGTGTTTCGCTGTCGTACTCGCGGCTTCCCCGTGCATTCCTGGGTTTCCCGTCATATTGATCCATCATCAACACATCCTCATCAAAAATGTGTTTACATTTTACTACGCTATGTATTTACAAATGAAAGAAACCAGGACAGACAAAAGTTTAAATTCCCTACGTTAAATCCAGGCCAGTGTTGTTAAAAAATGCAATCCCCTTGAAAGCCATGACAGTTTCATCGTTAAACAGTTCTTATCATTCTCTCCTTGACGCACAAGATCCTATATCGTTCCCAAATTATGTATCCTTACGAAAAATCAATGAAAGTAGACAATCAAAACAAATCTGACCTTAAATCGCGCGCTTTCCGTACATTGCCCCCCCCCCCCTTAAGTTTAACGTGTCAATCATTCTAAATCAATACCCTAACTGTACCCAGACCAAAATAGGAAGGAATTTTCTATTCATGTAAGATCAGAGAGAAACATCAGTGGGTCGGAGCTGGGCAAAAGGATAGAAGGTTAGCAGCCCAGCGCCCGACCAGATCCTGGCCAAACCTTGCCTGAGCTGATGGTGATGCTGCAGGTGGCCAGCGGCTGCCGCTGACATGGCTGGCGGTCCAAGGTGGTCGGCCGCCCTGGTCTCCTCCGTCGGTGTAGAGCTGCAGGCACGGGCTCCTCTTCCAGCGCCGTCCGGCCGACGGGCCGTGCGACCGGCAGGGCCGCCCGGGCCTCGCCGACGCCCTGGCCCGTCGCTCTTGAACCCTCGGCTCCGACTTTACAGCAGGGCCGTCCGGCCACACGGGCCGTCCGGCCCAGCCGGCCTCTTGCCGTCGATGGTCAACTCTCAGGCCAGACTCTGACTCCCGACTCTGACTGTAGGGCCGGCCGGCCACACGGGCCGTCCGGCCCAGCCGGTGTCCTGCCGTCGATCGTCAACGCTCGGCTCCGACTCCAACTCCCGACTGTCCTCTTCTCTCCCCCTGGCCTCATTCCCCCTCGGCTCCCCAGTGCAGCTGCCTCATGGCTGGCAGAGGCGTCCTCAGGTACTGATGTTCGTCCTGGTTCTCCTGCTGTCTCCTCCTTCTCCTCCTTCCGCCGCCTCTGCGCCCGGGTTGTTTTGACGGCCGGGTCCCCTCTCGCCCCGGCCGTACCCTTTTGGTCCGGCGTGGCACGGGGGCTGTTTGCCGGCGCGGCGGTGCGGTGACGCCAGCGCCGGCGCCCAAACCCCGGTGCACACGCCGTCGTCGCCATGAGAGAATGTTGGAAAATTTGCGTTAAAAATGTAGCGCGCCAGCGTTACACTTACCTCGCTCCCTACCACCTCACAGACGGACTACTCGCGGCGCTCCGACCGTGGGCAGGCGCGCACACAGGATTTTTGAATGGGGGGGGGGGCACGACCTTCGAACTGGGCCCCCCATGCCGAAGGGCCCCCCCCCCAAAAAAAAAATACGGCCCAGGGGGCTATATTTCGGTTGGTTTGAAGCTTTAGCAATTAATTTGTCAATGCATGGTAAAACAATTATTTCGGTACCAGCTTAATTTTCAAAACATATATATTTTTACGCTAGGCTGTTTTTTTTTCTCAAATGCGACTCAGAGCCGGTACATATACCTAATCATCTAATTTATGACGTAAAACATTTCATTAATAAACATTTTTGCAGGTCCCTCAGAAATCAGCCCCGGGCAGCGACTGACTGCCGGCCGGCCGACCGGCCCCGGGTGGCTAGAAGCAGGGGCCGGTCACTGTTTGGCCCGGATGTGTAGGAGCGGGAGCAGCACTCCTTTTTCACGTATATTCGCATATTTTTTTAGGCACATCGACATGAACTGTCATTATATCTGATACGATGCGGGATCACAGACTAGAGATCCAGCTTATAACTTATATTTAATGCTTAACCAATGAATCAAATCAACAGGACTATGTACGATGCATGTCGGACACGTACCCAGAATTTCGCCCAAGAGGGGGTCACCTGCTAGTCACCTGACCCCGGGCCCGCGAGTCACCCGGGCGCCCGGGGTCAGCTCAGGCAAGGATGTACCCAGGACCTTTCGATGGGAGGAGGGAGGCACGGTGGGTCCAGTCTCACTGGCAGACGGGTCTCTTTAAAACGGTCTTTGCATGAGAAAATGTGGAAAATTGGCAAGCAAAAGTATCATTTATGCCCGAGGAGTGTGCCTAATGTACACTAATGCCTAATTTACATGGTATTTTACGAGCGAGCGAAGCGAGCGAGCTCCTCAGAGTCACCGGTGTGTGGCGCGTTCAGAGGTGCCAGTGAAAGGCCGCCAGATGCGCTGGTGTTGGGTCCTCACAGGCGCCGTTGCGGGGTCTTAGGGCTTAGAGACACTGGTGGGGCCATCATTGGCATGTGTGTGGCCCTGCAAAATGGCCTGCAAGTGGAAAGTGTCCCGTCATAGGCTGGCAAGGACACTCGGAGGCTGGTAAGAGGCCCTCAGAGTCACTGGTACGCGGCCCTCAGAGGCGTCGGTGTAGGCCCTTAAGATGCGCTGGTGGGGGTCCCTTGGAGGTGGGGCGAGGGGCCTCGCAGTTGCCGTTGTGGGTGCCTTTAGAAACACTGGTGTGGACCGTGTGTCTATCACAGACGGATGTGGAGCCATAGCAGCCAATCCCTCGTTGGCCGTTACTACTTAGGGCCCTGAGCGGCCGGCGAGGTCTCTCAGAAACCGGCATTGGGCCTTTATGAAGATAATTGTGGCTAAATAGGAGCCAATAACGTCCCCCCACAAGCCCTGTGGTGTCCTTCCGAGTTGAAGTGCGGCCAGCGCGAACCCTCTGCTACCAACTGGCGCCGCAGGGCCCCTCGGTTTCGAAGAAACCCTAAACCCGAGAACGGGCACGTACCCCCTCGCTCCCTTGCTATGTCACTGAATCCAAGTGATGGGACCCTTTAGGTAATCAGGGGCGTTTCAGATGACCAGGGGTTTTCAATTGATCAGGGGCCCACCAGGTGACCATGGGCCCCTCTGGTAACCAGGCGCCCCTTAAGTAACCAGGGACCCCATCAATAACCAGGGCCCCTCAGTAAACGGGGGCCACTCAGGTAAGTGTAGGAGTCCCGCAGATAACCAGGGCCGGCAAGGTTTCTCAGGTCCGTTTTTTGACAAGGCTCTTATTGACTCAGGTGCGAGCCCTTTGCCATCAGCAGAGGGCCCTTTCAAGCCTTTTGAGGGCCGTTTAACGTCTCTTGAGTTCCCATTGAGGCCTTCTAAATGCCCTTTGAGCAGTCGAGGGGCCTTTGAGGCCTTTTGAGGGTCTCTTGACGTCAGCTGAGTACCGTTGGACGCCAGCTGAGGATCGTTTTTGGGCCTTCTGATGGCCATTAGACGCCAATGGATGACCCTCTGACACCAACTGGGGCCCTCTGACACCAGCTAAGGGCACTTTAAGTTTGACGCTAGCTCAGGGCCCTCTGTCATTAGCTGGGGGGCCCTCTGACGCTAGCTCAAGGCCCTTTAACGCTCTTTAAGGCCTTCTGAGGGCCCCTTGAGGTCTTCTAAGGGCCCCTTAAGGCTTTTTGAGGGCCGCTTGACACCAACTGAGGACCGTTTGAGGCCTTCTGATGGCCATTTGGCGCCAGCTGGGGGCCCTCTGTCACCAGCTAAGGACCCTTTAGAGCCTTCCGAGAGCCATTTGACGCAAGGGCATGGCCCTCTGACGCCAGCTCAGGGACCTTTGACACCCTTTAAGGCCTTCTGACCCTGACGTCCGTTTGACGTTAGCTGAGGGCCCTTTGAGGCTATCTGAGGGCCCTTTAAGGCCATCTGAGAGTCCTTTGAGGTCATCTGAGGGCTCCTTAAGGCCATCTGAGGGCCCTTTGACACCATCTGAGGGCCCTTTGACACCATCTAAGGGCCCTTTGACACCAGATGAGGGCCCTATGACGCTAACTAAGGGCCCTTCGAGGCCATCTGAGGGCCTTATGAGACCATCTGAGGGCCCTTTAAGGCCATTTGAGGGCCCGTTGTACACGGTCTTCGGTGGTCTAAGGATTAGTTAGAGGCCCATTTGAGGCGGCCTTCGGCCGCCTCAAATGGGCCCCTTCCTTCGAGTTGGGCCCCCCAACTCGAATGGGGGGGGGCACGGGCCCGTGTGCCCCCCCCCCTTGTGTGCGCCCTTGACCGTGGGCGACACCCTGACACATAACCTAACCTAACCAATCTTACCCCGCTCCCTACCACCTCACAGACGGACTACTCGCGGCCCTCCGACCGTGGACGATACCCTGACACCCTGATCCCCTCCCCTCGCCACCGGTCTGGCCCTGCCTTTACCGCCTCACTAACGGACGTCAGATGGTCCTCCGACCGTGGACGACACGCTGATGCCCTGACCCTGACCATGACCCTGACCTGACCCCAATCTGACCTCCCCTTCCCCCACAGGCGGACCACGGACGGCGCTCCGACCGTGGGCGACACGCTGCAGGCGGGCCGCCGCCTGGTGGCCGCCGGATACGCCCTCTACGGTAGCGCCACCATGATGGTGCTCAGCACGGGACAGGGAGTCAACGGATTCATGCTCGACCCGGTACGGTGGGTGGTCGAGTGATGGGATGAGGGTGGGGGTGGGGTGGGGGAGATGAGAAGGCTGAGGAGTGGATACGGGCAGAGGCCGATGTGGCAAGAGGGATGGAACGGTCAGACTAAGGGAAAATGGTGGGGGACGCTATGGAAACACACATTGTAAAAAAAAATCAGCATATGTGATCAGTTATCGGCATTCGTTCCACAGGTTGTTACGCACTTGTGTTAGGAACTTCGTTGGGTTTGTTGTACGTGGCTGATCAGACAAATCTACGGGAAAAGTAGGCATCATATAAGCTTTAGCACTTGAATAGTGTGTAATTTGCGAGCTTTTTGCTCCGGCTGCATGACACCGCAACACTGTGTTCCGGCGGTACGATAGCGGAAGCCAGGGACCGGGCTCAACAAGCGGCGGATGCCATAGCGAAATGGGCCCGCGACTGGAAGATGCGGCTGGCAGGAAGCAAAACGCAAGTTTTAGCCCTGTCGCAGCACTACGTCGACGCCCGGGACCTGTACATCCACGTAGACGGGGCACGAGTGGACGCTGGGAGACACCTTCACCTTCTCGGCGTAACCCTGGACCGGCAACTTCACATGGGCGAGCACTGCGCGCGCGTCCGGAAGAAGACCAAGCCGAGGATCGCACAGCTCCGTAAGATGACCGGGCGTTCCTGGGGCCTGCGGGAGCCACAGCTGCGAGTAGTAGCCAACGGCTACATCCGCGGCGCCCTGGAATACGCGGCGGCTGCATGGCTCCCTGCAGCGTCCGAGTCCCACGTAGAGCTACTGGAGATGGAGATGCGCGCGGCAGCCCGCGTTATCACCGGGTGCCCCGTGAGCACGCCGAGGGATCCGCTCCTCGCGGAAGCCGGTCTGGTTCCCGTGAGAGCACGCCGGGACCTGCTCGCTGCCAGACTGAGCTGTCTGGCAGCCTCACAAAGAAGCGGCGACCCACTGCGCGCGGTGGCCGAAGCAACGGCCCCACGGCGGCTCCGCACCACCACCGGCTGGCGCGACACGGGGGCGCGCGCCCTGGTGAGCGCGGGCGTGCGAGATGTACTTGTGGAGGAGCGCCTGCACGTCACCATCCCGCCGTGGATCGATGACACCAGGGTCCAGTTCAGACTTGACATCGGCAACCACATCAGCCGCACAGCACCACCCGACGTCCGGCGGGAGAGAGCGGAGGAGCATCTGGCCACCCTCCCAGACGACGCCGTATGGGTGTGGAGCGACGGCTCGGCGGAGGGAGGTGTCTCAGCCGGAGGGAGTGGAGCGCTGATAACCCTCCCCTCAGGCGAGGAACACGAGCTCCGAGCCCCTGCAGGCAAGATATGCAGCAGCACCCGCGCCGAACTGGTGGCGATCCGCGGGGCACTGGAGATGCTGCTGCAGCTGGAGGGCGGCCTGGCGGAGAGCCCGGTCATCGTCTGCGCCGACTCGCAGGCGGCGCTCGCCACACTGGCGAGTGGGGCTGGGAGCCAGGCGACAGCACTCGGCGCCGCCGTATGGCGACTGCTCCTGGCGCTCACGGACGGAGGACGCCGAGTCTTCATGCAGTGGATCCCAGCGCACTGCGGAATACCCGGCAACGAGAGAGCGGACGTGCTGGCTAAAGAGGCATCCAGCCTGTCGCAAGACGCCGTCCCAACGGACGTCCGCTCGATGGTGAAGGCAGTCGGCCGCTCCGCCACCAAGGCATGGCGTCGCAGCTGGCCAGACAGCTTCTTCAAAACCATCATGGGAGACCGGATGCCGATGCCGGTGCTCCTGGAGTCTCGCGACGAGGCGGTCAACGTCCACCAGCTGCGGGCGGGACACTGGAGCCGCTCGCAGAGCTACCTTCACAGAATTGGACGCCGCCCCGAGCGCGACTGCCCACAGTGCAGTGATCTGGCCTGCCCGGCGGCGCGCTGCCTGGTGTGTCGCGAGGGCCCGGACACGCCGGAGCACGTGCTGCTGAGGTGCCCGTGTTTGGCTGGCGCGAGGCTCCGCCTACTCGGCAATATCAGACCGGACCCTACGCAGCTTCGAGACGGCGGGGCCGTGGCGGCCTTGAGCCGCGGCTACCTCAGTCACCAAGAGCCGTTGGGCTAGAGCCGACCCGGGGAGAACTACAACAGCTTTTTGCTCCTGGCTCTAGTTCGTTATTCTACCTGTATGCTCTTGCTTCTGAGCACGTACAGAACTACGTTGTTAACTCACGTTGAACTATAGAATTACGCACAGAACTACGTTGTTAACTCACAAAGGTGGTTGGTGTGAAATGCGAGTTATTAAACCAGTGAGGATTGTTACATTTAGCGAGTTTCTTTTCCTCCAAGACCAGGTTGGCTGACCCCGTCCCCGTACCCGTCAATCTTTGCGACAGGCCATCGGTGAGTTCGTGCTGACCGACCCCAACATGCGGATCAAGCCCCGCGGCAAGATCTACAGCTTGAACGAGGGCTACGCCAACAAGTGGGACGACGCCATCCGCGAGTACGTCAACAGCAAGAAGCAGGGACCGGTGAGTGAGTCCTCCTTTCCGGGGGATGGTAATAGATGGGGGGGGGGGAAGTGCATAGGAAGAAGACAGTGTCACCCGCGCCAAGACTGGGCGGTCCTGACGCAGGTGGTACTCTGTCCACTGGCTATTGGTTGTCTCCCTTGCCTCGAATGGCGAGCTTCCTTCTACCATCCGCCAGCTATCTCCCTCGCAGTCCACACACACGCAGCGCTCAAACAGCGACGGTTCCCTTTCTGCCTTAAGCTTCGTTAGTTTCCAAAACAGCTTAGTGTTCCTGCCTATCGATTTATACACAGCACCTAGCTAGGGGACTGTGTACGAATGGGACATTTTTTGACAAAACTTGACCTTTCTCCCATACATACTCGGACTCCGTATCTACTCATATGTATTACATGGGCCAGTTTCGCTTTATTTCCATGAATGTTGGAAAGGGGTGTTGCATGCTAACGTTTTTATATATGTCATGATGACAAGTCGTTTCTCAGGGACTCTTGCTTTTATGTTTGACGTTATGTCGGCGGCATACGTGCGATAAACACTTTACCTAGCGGGGCAGCGGCGCAGCCGCGGCAACCGCCACACAGTAATCAGTTGTGTCGTGCCGAGCACGTTTTTCTATGTCATGAATTAGGGGACCCGCGACAGTAGCTGGTAAATGACAGTGGCAGACATGAATGATTTATAAGTAATTACATCCATTTCTTTCCTTTCGTAAACATTGCTTTGTAACGTCGTAAATATTGAGCTTTTGCGTTGTTTTCGTTCCCGGTTGCCTAGGACGTTACCAAGTGACTATTTTTGGGGGTTTTGGTTTCATGTTTGATTTGGACAGTGCATAGGTGAATGAGCAAGTTTACGCATTTTATTAGGGCTAGAAAAAGGCTGGGATTATATTCTGGAGCCGGTACGGATTTCTCTGTAGGTGGACTCTGTCAGTAGTGCTTCCGTTTGACTTCCTCCCCACGCCTCTGTGTCCATCAGAAGCCGTACGGCGGCCGCTACATCGGCTCCATGGTCGCTGACGTGCACCGCACACTGAAATACGGAGGTATCTTCATGTACCCAGCCACCGCTGACGCGCCCAAGGGCAAGCTGCGCCTCATGTACGAGTGTAACCCGATGGCCTTCATCATTGAACAGGTGAGCTGTGGTGAGGGATGGGTCGGAACGACCGCGCCGCCATTGGGGGGGGGGGGGTATGAAGGGGGAGAAGGGCGCCCGTGTTTGATTTTTTTTCGAGAGCTGAGCAAAGGCTGAGTAGACACATGATCGTCATTTCATTTCTCATTTCGCCTACCGTAAGCTCATTGCCAGCCGCCGCGCACGTAGAATGGGACTGTGCGTTAAAACAGGCTCGGATGGAGCGCTTTCGGACATGGCTGGTGGAATGAAGCCGATTGAAAATTTCCGCTCGTGGAACACGTGACTCGGAAATAGTTACCTAGTGACGGGCGCGGGCGCTCACGTGCAAATTGCCGTTAACTCCAATGCTGTCGGGAACAACGTGCCCCGTTACGACCTAAAAGTAAGAATAACTGCCTGCTGGCTAAAAACCCAGACAAATAAATAAACATTGACATGACAGAGCCAGCCTTAGCAACTGGGCCGCCGCATTGGGGCACACATTGCCCGGCTGGGTGGGTGTCGCGTCCTTATACAGTCACTGGTCACGCGCATCACGCCACGGAGGCGTGGTCGAAACTTTCAGTTGGATGTCGTTTCCCACTCACATTGACAAATTTTGGATCACCGCAATAATAAGGCGTAAAAGGCCTCCGAGGCGAATATCCAGCACCAACAGTGCTAACTGCTTCGAGTGGCAGTCTCACCCATGAGTCTCAGCCGAGCTCGGTTGGCGACGTTCGGGAAAAAGGTGTCAAATTTTAGGAAACTCTGTGTATGAAATTCAGTACCCTGCATCAGAATGTCCCGCTTTACCTCCGTATCAGCCCCTATGTGTGTAGACTATCTCCGCTCCTCCTGACGTTTTGCGATGCCCCCAGGCCGGCGGCAAGTCGAGTAACGGCTCGGTGAGCATCCTGGACATCCAGCCGGAGGCGATCCACCAGCGGTCGCCCATCTTCCTGGGCTCCTCAGAGGACGTGGAAGAGGTCCTCGCCTGCATCGCCAAGCACAAGCAGTAGCCGAGGCCACAAGCAGAGGCCAGGACAAGGCCAGTCGGGCCGAGACGCGGTGGTTGGGCTCTGTTGGACGGAGGTGACAAAATGATATTTTGATAACCAGTATATTGTGGATGTTATTCATTCCGATTGTTTTGAATGAATTTATTCTAGAGCACGCTATGAACGCTAGGAGTGGAAGTAGAGTTTGAAATACACGGGACTCGCACTATTTGTACTTTTTTCTCTGAATCTTATGAAAATCTCATGGTTTCACTGAGCGGTGTGTCAAATTGAATGACCCAGGTCTGGAAAAACAGACAGATGCAGCCACCTCTCGCTTCTAGAGGAGGGTGGTAAGGCTGAGGTGCTGTGGCTGCATGCTATGTGTATGGAATTTTCGATCCATACTGTAGAAAATTATCATGAATAGTCACAATTCGCGTTACCAGTAAAGGATATCTCACAGCTTATAAACTTTGACGCATTATATTTTTTACATAAGGCCATGTCCACGGCCTCGGTGCCAGTCACTGTATAATTGTGGATGTTTTTTGTTGGTGTTTGGTTCGTGAGAGCAGTCCATCCATGGCCTGACGCTGGGGAGGCGTCGGTGTTGTGCGGGTATGCCCGTGGCCCGGCAACGGACCGGTGACCCGCGGTCGATGGCGGTCACAGCGGGGGACCCTCGGCGGCTCCTTCACTCGGCCACCATGTCTCACCACTCGCGGCCGCTGCTGCCGCTGCTGGTGACGTTGATGGTGATAGCGGGCTCTGTCACTGCTCTGACACCACTGGAGCGTTTCACCACGCGTCTGGCCAGTGGTGAGCTCCGGCTGTCACCTCAGGCGTACCGGATGAGTGAGCTTGGCGAACACAACGGAACCCTGCCGGCCGACCTGGTATTGGCTACGGTGCACGATGTGCTGGAGCCCTCCTGTCGCCATCTGTGTCTGAGCCGGCCCGACTGTCTGGGCACTGCGTACCGTCCCAGCGACCAGCTGTGTCTGCTGTCTGCGCGGCGTCCGGCGCCGAGCCGCCTGGAGCCCACCGAGGAGCCGTGGGTGCTGGCGGCGCGCCGCGGCCTGGCCTTCCTCGACGAGCCGTGTGAGAGGGAGGAGGACTGTCGCCTGGTCGTGCCGTGGTCAGAGTGTCGGGCAGACGTCTGCGTCTGCCGCCACGCCGCTAACCGGACGGCCGAGGACGGGTGCGTGCCGCGCGGCGAGCTGGTGCCGGCGCCCGGTGGTCGGGCCGACGACAGCGCCCTGCTCCTCTCCGAGACGGCCACCGACAGCGACACCTGCCGCCAGTTGTGTGAGGAGGAGCCGCGCTGCCTGGCCGTCGAGCTGACCGCCGATAGTTGCCGACTCTTCTCCCAGGGAATCACTGCCTCTGCAGGCGACAACAGCTCACAGAGCTGGACGCTGCGGCTGGAAGGGCCGCCCGGCATCCGTCCCGAGGAGCTACTCAACTTCGACGGTACCTGGTTCATCAACACCGTGGCTCCGGCGATGAATTTCATGGCAGCCTCGCGATTCTGCGCAGAACGTGCGGGTATTGTGTGGCCGGGTGGCTCGGAGGATACCTACCGGGGTCTGGTGAGCGCCGGTCTTCTGCCTCCGTCGCCGGAAAGTTTCTGGGTCGGTTTGGATGACCTGATTCGTGAGGGAAAGTTCATCCGCAGTGACGGAGAGATGATGTCAGCATCCGACATGCCCTGGGCCGCCAACCAGCCAGACAACGCCGGTGATCAGGAGAACTGTGTCGTGGTGTTCAGCTCGGAGTACCAGCTCAATGATGCCACCTGCGGTCTGTTGCAGCGCTTCGTCTGTCAGGCGCTGGGCGAGAACGTGGCTCTCGGCCGACCGGCGTGGATGTCCACCAATCGCGGCGCGCCTCCGTCCCACGGCACCGACGGCCTCCTAGTGGAAGCCGTCCGAACGTCGGCGCTGTTCGAGACCAAAGAGCAGGTGTGGACGGTCGACCTCGGCATGCAGCACCAGGTCATCGGCTTTCTGTACGCCGCACCAATGGCAGAAAATAAGGTCCATAAAAGGAACACCAAGGTGTATGTCAGCTCGGAGCCCCTGCCGAACGACTCGGATGTACTATGTCGTCACCTCACCGTCCGGTTTCTGCTGGAGTGGATGGCTCGCTGCTACGCCTGCGACTTCCCCGTTCAGGGAAGATACCTACATGTCACGAGGAAGGCGGGACTCCGAGTCCTGATGTCGGAGCTCATGGTTTTTGGCCATCCAATCTATGAAAGCTAAAACGACAGTCGTACGACCTCCAAGTAGATCGATGACCACATGATGGATACGACTTAGGGTGCCGTAGATGTGGTGCAGCTCATTTCCTAGTTTGTTAGCTAGCTAACAAGGACGACCCACGATCCATATTCTTCTTTGGGAATCGTCAGGCTACATCTGGATCGCCAATCGCCACCTCTTCATTGTGTTTCGACTTGTTGTATTTGAATTTTGATTGCACTGCCCTTGTAAGTTGTAGGTAGGTACTGGCTCCGAAGCTCTTCATATTCGATACCTTACTGCCAACGCACCATGGAAAGGTCGTGCTGTAATTCGGTTGTTGTGTCGACATTTAGGAATACTTGATTTCGACATGCCTGAATGCCAAATGGTAACACTAGACTGTCGATTGAGAATTGATCACTGAAGCTGAGCGTGAGTTATTTTAGTTAGATGACGATATACTTTGCAACGTTGCTGTAAAAATAAATAAACGGTGCAGAATGGTGTGCTACCGACGCGACGGTGACCTGAGCGCGGTGGAGGCCAGGTGGTAAGGTTCCACCTTTGACCCAGAGTAGTAGGTACGGCCCATCGGAATGGTCGCACCACGGTCCACCAACTTCTGATCTCTGGCTTACCTGGAGCTGCGTGATAGTTTATTTACTGGCGGGCGGCGGCTAAGGTGTCAACGGTGCAAGCTGTTCTGCAACTCGTATTCTTTTAGAAGCCAACCATTGCAACTGTGAATCAAAACGTAACGGCCCGCAGACCGACTGCAGCTGAGTTTAGTTCAGAGCTGTCGTGGTTGAAATTGGCAGGGATGCTGGAGCGGAGGCTTTTCGAGCTTATGTCAAACTCGTCAAAGCGATCTTGTTTCGGAAAGGTTGAGTGGCTGGCCTGCCGAAATGGCGCCGTTCTGTGTAAATATCAGCCTGGCCCGGAACGGCGTAATTCAGCGTGAATTCAGTGGGTCCGCTGACGACCGCGTGGCTCAGTAGTGCTCGAGCCGCCCGCTGTTGACCGTCGCGTCGGCCGCGGGCTCATACTGTGCTCCAGCCGCCTGCTGTCGACTGACGACTGCCGGACTCACTGTGCTCCGGTCGCGTCCTGTCGTCTGACGACTGCCTGGCTCTACTGTGCTCCAGTCACGTCCTGTCGACTGACGACTGCGGGACTCTACTGAGCTCCAGCTGCTTGCTGTCGTCTGCCGACTGCCGGACTCTACTGTGCTCCAGCTGCTTGCTGTCGTCTGCCGGCGGCCGGCGCCGCTCCGCTGGCCGGCTGCCGGTGCAGGGGCGCGGCCGCCGCCGTCCGGAGCTGGCGCCGATCCCGTCTGCTGACGTTGCTCGTCGGCGGCGCGTCTCGGTGACGTCGGCAGTCGTGACGCGCTGGTGCTCCCCCCCCCCTCCCCACTCCTCCGGGGATGTAGCGCCGTCAGAGGCCCCGCTTCGGTCCGTCCATTAGCCGGGCTGCTGTATTCTGCACGGTTCAATCTCCGACGGTTATGGGCTGGATAAACAAACTCCCCCCCCCCCCCCCCCACCGTCCAGCGCCGTATCACCGCTGTCACCGGCCGCTCCATGGCTGTCACCCCCTGGACCGACGCCGCCTGGCACTGTGCGTGAGCGGCCCAGAATTCCGGGCGCGGTCCGACCCGGAGATGTCAGACAGACCCGGACAGCGGACGGTCCGGCTCCGGACAGTTTGATTTATCCGCTCCAAAGTAAATAACGCGCTATTCCTACCCGTCGGTCTCGGCTGGAAACCGGGTCAGTGCAGCGCTTCCGGTGCCGCCCGCGGGGCCGACTGATGTCTGCCGGATTCCACCGGTGCTGTCATGAAGTCTGCCGAGTGTTCACCACTGGGTGCAGCCAATGCTGCTGCCGTCAGTCCGGGGCGATGGAATTTAACGGTCTGTCGGTTTCGATCTTCTGCATGCTGGATCCGTCTTCTATGATTGTCAGTTGCACGGCAACTGTCCGTGATCCATCATCGTGGCTTCTATACCCGGATTTAGATCAGAGTCGAATAAACGTTATTTATTAATAAAATAGAATTGTGTTTTGCGAATAGGTATTCCAACAGAACAATGAAGGTGATCATATTTGTGTATAGCGTGTTTTTACCTGTCGCGGTGGTGCTCTTATGTGTTTCCCTGTCCCCCGCCGAGTGACGTCACTGACGAGTGAGGGGCTCTCCGTCACACCCCACCCATTCCGGACGCTGCGGACCCCCGCAGCGCCCGCGCCTCTCCACTCGAGAGGAGCCAGTCGGTAAATCACGGCGGTGGTCGAGGAGCGCCGGTGTGTGTGCTCTCCAGATTCGTCGCCTCCTGTCTGTCTGCCCGCGCCGCGTGCGATACGGCTGTGCGTCGCCGGGCGGGCCGTGTCCGTATCGGGTCGTCGATAGCACCCCGCGGCGGCCCACCGACGGCTCGGGTCGGTCGGCGGCGGCCGGGCGCGGGCAGGCAGTGGCCAGCCCATGTCGTCCCCTATCTCCGCGTGTGTCCACTAACACGAATGACGTCACGCATGTGGGCGGAGCTATGGGCGGAGCCTAACGCACGCGGCAGTCCAAGCCGCCATATTTGAATTTATATTTTAATAGAATCTTGCCGATATTTCGGTTGAAGTCAATTTATATGGATAGCTTGGTGACAGTTTAGCTATACGAATAATAATTTATTATGGATGTGCGTATATTCAGCTTGGAATTGCAATTAAAGTTCCGCACCGCATAGATTCGAACTCGGGACCTTTGGAATACTGCGCGGGCACGCTAACCACTACACTACCGCGACCGCGCGGCGGCCGGCGGCAGGGAGGCTGCGGAGACATGGGGGGACATTTTACGCTTTTGTGAAAAAAGCAAAAGATTTAGCGAAAAACACGTAATAGATAACTTGCAGAAAATTGTCTGCTCTTTCCGATTAGATACTTAGAATTGATATATCTTGTGCAGACTTCATTCTACAGTGCTTCGAAAATCGCTCATTTACATGGGGATTGAACGGGGCTTCGAGACTTGACTCCAAATGACGTCACGAGCTGACGTCACGAAAAGGTAGAATCGCCGGACGACCCTACCTGGTATATAGGGCCTTGGGCCAGCCGACTGCCGGCGAGGTGACACGGGACGAGACCGGGCCGATCAGACCAGCGTCTGCGCGACAGACGGAGCAGTGAGAGTGAGCGCGGAGGTGAGAGGGGTGTGGTGCAGGTGGTGAGAAGGATACCCAGTGTGCGGCGCAGGTGGTGAGATGGTCCCCGGTGAGCGGCGCAGGTGACTGGGTGAGCGCCATCATGGGCTGCACGGCGAGCGGGCCGGCCGAGGCGCGCCGTCGCCGCTCTTCAGCCAACTCGACCAAACAGGCTAGCGTCACCTTCGGTAAGCGGGTCGCTGCGTCTGGCACCGCCGACGGCGCGCACGCACGCCCCCCCCCCCCCCCTCCCCCAGTGCCACCTCCTCGCTCCCTGTCCCCTCCCCTCCCCTCCCCTAGCGATCTTGTCACGTCTTCCCTTCCTTACCTCCGAGCAACAGTGGGTTGTCAGATGTGAGTTGCACTTAAACGTTTTCCTGTAAATCATGTTGCTGTGCGTTTGGCTTGTATTGGCTTTCGATTTTTCACCCTGCTGATCAAGATTAAAGGGAGGCACACCGTGTATACCGTACCCATGCCTTCTTGCTGTTGCCGGCAAATATGAAATATACAGCCAAGGGATTAATTAGATGTGCTACGGTAAGTATAGGTCCCAATGCAAATTTTCTATTGACGCCGGATGAGGTATTGATAATCACGCTTTTGCTTTGCCAAAAAGTTAACTGGTCGCTGGCATCAATTCGCAAAGGTTCTGTCATCAGGCTGCGCGTTTCACATCGGGTCTCAGGCTGAAGGGGAGGGGACTGCGTTAGCTAGCGGAACTGCTCTGATATGCGATGCGTGCTGTCCCCTCCTCCCCCTCCCCACCTGCGGAGTCGCTGTCGTGCGTTGTGTCTCCCCCCCCCGTCCCACACCTCGCTCGCGGAGCGAAGCATGCGTGTTATATTGTGCCGTAAAACGCGTGTTGTCTCTCTCTCCGTGTCGTAACGTGCCGTCACCTGTAGTCACCTGTAGCTTTAGCTGCTCGTTGAGACTGTAGTTAGTAGAGCTGCCAGAAGTTTCTCGGATTCCAACGGATCTGACAAGCGGAGATCACTTTCATATGTCCGCAGGTGCTGGTTTTCTTCTCGTCGATTGGTTCCTGGTCCCTCTTTCGATTCATTATAACACCTACTGCGCATTGTGTTGTGTAAACAATAAACATCGATATTCTTATATACGTAAGCAGAAAACAGACACCTACGCACGTAAACGATGCATCTTGAGTAATCCGAGTCCATGCGTCACATCACTACTCAGCGTGCTGTTAGGAACCACACCCAGAAACCTACCACAGTCACCCATCATCTACTCACCACAGACCTGATGCCGGCAACACGGAGCGATTTGATACCGCAGAGCCAGCATCTGTGTCAGCGGTCGTATAGGCTAACTTTGGCGTCGGCCGAGGCCGGTGGGCTGGGCTCCCCATACTGTGTTTCAGTTTTGAGGGACTGCTGGCCACGAGTGGAATAATGTGTGACCGACAGTAGAAGGTAATAGAGCTCAAGCTTTGTGACGACAGACTCGCCCGTCTCGGCGTGCTGTTGTGAAGTACTACAGGGACGGCTCAGAGCGAGGGCGTTATCTGTCGCCGGCCCGATACGGTCGCGGCCCGGCCCCACGCGGACGACCACGGCGCCGCGCCCGGGCCGCCGCGCTGACACGCAGCCACACACGCAGTCGCCGACGGTCGCTGGCGCCCGACCCGGTCGTGTCAGCACGCACCCGGCGCTGCTTGTCAGTCGCGCATACAAAAACGAAGGCAGCGAGCTGGCCGAGGGAGAATGAGGCGAATGGCTCTGCCAACGCCGCATTATACACAGCTCGAGTTGCGTGGTGTGCCGGTGTGTTGACGTACTGCCAGTGTGAATCTGACCGGCCGTGTGGTGTTTTGTTGGTAAAACGTCTGATGAGTCGTGTAAATAACATAACAAGTTTGTGAGTCACGCACTGGCGCCGGTCTCTCGCTACCGAGCCTTGCGGCACAGTATACCTTCAGGCGCGCTACCAGTGCCATCTATGGGCGGCGTCTGAAGCTATCCAGTGTGGGGCGAACCGGTCATTTCCAGACACAGTGTGTCGGTGCGGCGGAGACTCCATGACGAGATTGGCGGCTAATTCTGTCCGCAGTTGGCCAGCCTGTGGACTGCAACGGCGACTTCTGCGCATCTACACTAATGGTCTCGGGACAGCTCCCAAAATAATTTCATCCGATATTTTTTTTATTGCTTGCTAACGTAATTTATTACGGATTCACATGTTAAATGATAGAATCAATGTAAGTGTAACAGGATAAGCATATTCGATATTGAATGCAACTCTCAATGGAAGAAGCAATATGTCCCGTATCACATCGCTTTGAATGTAAAAGCTCACAGAAACTTTCCATATCCAACCTATGCTCCTTCCAAGTGTCTTTTTAAAAATCGCCTTTATGTTATCATCATCACTGGACTATACTTGGCACAATAGCGAAGTGTGTGATCTCTTGCCACCGGGCGCGAAATTGCTTCCATAGCTTGTGTGCCTTTTAGGTCGCTAATTCATCATCATCATAAATTACTCTCGGGGCGAGAGCCTCATTGTGGCCCGAACGGCCAAGGTCAGGGATGGGAACTTCGACTGCTACGGGGACAGAGGTGAGGGCGGCAGCGACGGAAGCGACAGAGTGTTTGGGAAGTAGGGTGGTGCTGAGTCAGCAGCCTGCGACATTATTAGACAATAGAGAGCTGAGCGATCGACGCTCGTATGCATCCCGGTGGCGCGCAGGAATCTGGAAGGGCCTTATAAAACGGACGGCTCGCCAGGGGCTCGTCTAGTTTGAGTCGAGGGCGATGTAAGCACACGCCACTGACAGCATTGGAGGCAGAATTCGGATATTGAGGAAGCTCAGATGTTCTGAATACTTACAGTTGGCGTTAAACACTTCAAAATAAAACTGAGGAAAGGAAAATGACTCGTCTATGAACGTCCTGACTGTAGCTGTACCTGAATATTATGTGCTCCTTGATTGCTTGATTATACCTATAGCCGCCTAGAATAAAACCAATCCCCTCTTTGTCTGAGTTGTTAAAATCCCATATTTTTACAGGCGAGAAACATTTAACATCCTAGGGCACCTTTAGCAGCTAGCCAGAAGCGTCAATGCATTCAAGTATACCGATACAGTAAACAGAAATGGCACTTCTCTAACAGGTTTGAAACTTAGCTTTGACCAATCGATAAGAAACACGGATGTGTTGTTTGAGCCACTGTCTCGCCCAATTAAGGTCCCTTGGAGTCCCTGTCACTTCCAGTTATTGGCTGAGCTATGTTTAGGACTCCAGAGGAAAACGTAAAACGAGAGACCACCGATGCCGATTCGATGTTCGTTTGGGTCAGCTTGTCTGAATGGTGCGAACTGAGAAGATTCACCAGGTGGTCGCTGATATGCATATTCTAACATTAGTGTAACATGTACGCATCCTGACTAATCCGATCGAGAAAGCCCGGGTAAGCGTCAAAAAAAATCATTATCATTAGCTTACCGACCCTGCTGAATGTGATTAGATTAGGTCTCTGGTAAGACGACACAACACTGATTTTCGATTCAACTTTTACCCTCCGGAGCTAGCTCGGAGGCCGCTACTGCCCGACGCGATATTCACCATCCCCACCGCCGCGTGCAGTGACACCCCTGTACGTGTCCAGAGCCGATCTGTATCGGTCGGCTACCCTAATGATCGGCGCAGCCAGTGTCCCCAGAGACCGGACGGGACGATATGCCAGTTAATGTGCAACCCGGCACCGGTCGCAGCTGTAGATTACGCTAATTCCCCGGCCAAATGAACCGGCCGACCGGCGCAATTATAGTGGCGAACGGCTGTTCTTGGTCTGCGTTGGATGGGAACCGTTATTACGCCTTGTGTCGTATGTGAGACGCCATTAAAAGCTCTTGAGATCTAGATGCGTCATTAATTGGTTGAATTATGATACTGCTTCTTGTTATCTACTGACTTTTCTCAAGAGTGCAGACAGAGACACATTTTCTTCTGCAACCTGTCTGTACTGTTATCGGCTGCTGTTGAAATAACAGAGCCCCTTCATCGTCAAGTTCACGGCCAGTATGCTGGCCTCTAGAGCCATGCTGTCAGCATTCAACAATGACTGCCTTGTGTGAACATCTGAAGACCTTGACTTTGCTTGCCGCTGCCCGTGGCCATGTTAATCCGACCGATCATTGTGATCTTCGAGAGTGATTGCTACCGATTGGATTCAGTCTGCACGCAGGGATTCGGGATTCTACAATCTACATTCATTCTGCAGGAGCCTGGGCGTCAAGCATAACACTATTCTGATGTGTATGCACTAGCGATGGTGGAAGTATATGTTTTGGAGTTGGCTTGATTCTGATATTAACCCGCGCATGACTGGGCGGGGGGTGGGGGGCTCTACAGTGCCCCCCTCCCATTTTTAGCAATAGTTATCTTCTAAACGGTTTGACGGATCAACACGAAACTTGCGGTACCCTCAGCGGCATCAATTGGACACATTGTGTTAAACTTTCAACTTTCTGGCTGCCATAGTTTGGCCGGAAATGACGTCAGAGTGACGTCATGTCGGTCAATTTTGATGCAAAATATTGATTTACAGCAAACGCTCTCAAGAGCTCAGTTTTAAAGCTAGGTCCAATTTCTTTGCATGAGTTGACTACAAATACACGTAGCTATCAAACTGCCATCTCGAATTTTCGAAATTTGGAGAATTTGGAAAAATATAAATTTGCAAATACAAAAAAATATATTTTTCCAAAAAGTTTTCGATTTTTCGCAAAAACCGGAATACATATGATAGAACACACACTGATGAACTACACTAGCAAGTTGCAGCCCAATATCTTCAAAATGGCGAAGTTATTCACATTATTGTCAAAATTTTACAATTATTTTTTTTTTTCAAATCCAATTTTTAATAAGTTTTAGACGTCACACAGCAATATAAATGGCACCATCGGGTTTCTGAGCTCAAATTGCATCTGATAGGCACCTTTTTTATTGAAAATTTTTGTTTTCAAAATTTGACATTTTCTGACCTGAAAGTGACCTGACTTCCGGTAAATTCAGCTGAAAATGACCTCAAATGACACAGACGACACTATTTTCGAAATCTACGAGTAAAATGGACCATAAAACATGCGTCACGTGACCGATCCATGATATACAATTTTCGTGACCTAGGATGACCTGGCCTTGACCTGAAGAATTCG